GACGGCGGGGGAGGGGGAGGGGAGTTCAGCGTTGCTTGAGCTCTGTCCAGTCTAAGAGAAAACCGCGTATGGAATGCAGCAATTGTTCGGATGCGGAGTGCGTTGCCCTACGTAGGAATCCTGCCAATGCTTGCACTTCCTTATCCCGTTAGTGGACCACCCAGTGCACGGAAATCTACCGGCTTACGCGGGGGTACATCCGCAGCCTGCCTTAATGATAATAGTTGGATTTTAACATATCGTCCATCGCTGATAAACCTGCTGGTGAAAGGGATAGATACCAGACCTGTTATGCTTTCATTCACTGGGCTTTGGACCCCGCAAGTCCTTGGACGCAGCATATTGCGCCTTTACAGCCGCGTTAGCTGATAGAGAGATGTTTAACTGTGTTCGCTTCGTACGGGTTGGGGGGCTCATCTGATAGGATGAAAATCGGCAACTATTCAGCCTTTACATGATTTACTTCTTTCCTGGGAAACATTAAGAGTTAAAGTAAAGGAGAATAGAAACAGGCAGTACGACCCACCGTCCATCTTTGTTGATAGAATCTACTACAAATTAGCTTCCCCTTCGGAGTGAGGGAGTGATGCCAGCTGACGTGGACAAATAACCGAATTCTACATTCTCCTGTCCGTATTATAGCCCTCTAAAATCACTAGTTAGGATTTCCCTCACACTTTTTAACGTGGTTTGTCATTTTATGAATGAATTATTCATGATTTCCTAGCAGTCTGTTCTTCACGTTTCCGGCTAACAACTTTCGGAGGCCGAACACTTGGTTCAGTCCCCAATAGCGAAGTACACATGTCTGCGTCCGGCCACAGTTGGCAAGTCCAAGGTCTGATATTTAAAGTTCGTGGCAAGTTGTTTTTGCAGAGGAAATTACTGTACAGTTTAGTGATTTGGCATCAAGCCCTTAGCAGACCCGTGTTACTGTAGACTTCCGGGCCGTGCAACTTCTGTTCAATACTGTTTTGCGAAAATGCAAACATGGTTTTAAGTAATAAGATCACATGCGTAAGATTGCTTAACATTAACCCTAAAGGAACTAATACACATTATTAAGACTTTTGAGAGAATCGTATGTAGGTAGCCGTTCAAATGGAGGTTTGAGCAGATCAATAAAACAGAAGAATATGTGAAAAAGAAAATATTTCCGGCAAAAAAACATACAGAGAGTGGAATGACCCGTTCTGGTTTACTAGCCGTCATTAGGCAGCCAGACATAACCCCAAGTTTTGGGTATCAGGTCGCTTGGCGACTGTCTGTGGGGACTCCATGCTGAGTCCCAAGGCACAGCTGGATGAACAGGTCCCGTTAGACCAATGGTGTGTATGTGAAATGTTTGCTATTGTGAAGGCAATTGTACTTTTTGCCGGTCCTTCATGATTATAGCAGGAAACCAGGCTTGTTTACTAAAACGATCGAAAAGCTTATCACCCTATAGTAGCAGCGAAAAAATGGTTGCAAGACCCGTTCAGTCGAAGCCCTGAGGGAAAAATAAATCTCATATAAAAATTTATATTTATATTATTAGATCGAAAGATGGGAACAGTGGCTATCATGCCCTAAAAGAATTGATTTACTGTCGTATAAGAACACTAAGCTGAGTCTTTGGATACAACCAAAGCCAAAATGTTAAGCCATTTATGGAAAGCACTTAGAGTCCTTGTTGTGAAAACCGCTTATAAACCCTGCTCCTGGGGCTAACTAAATAAAGAAGGCGAGAACCCAGTCTGAAAATTAAAAAAAATGAGGAACTGATTGATCCTTGAGCAAAAGATAATGGATCAGGGCTTCTTTGTTGTTTTTGAGCGTAGAAGGGTTCATAAAAGTATATTATATATAAACTTATATATTTGGCAAAAATGCTCTTTTCCTTGCTTTGCATCGGATCAACAAGCTCTCACGTGGTGTTGTACGAAATGGCATGAAAACTCTGTGATTGACTTTATGCGACTGCAGGTCAAATCTCTCGGGCAGTTGATTCAACTAATGTGCATTTTGAGTAGTCCAGTCAAACTGTAAAGATATTAATGCCCTTCTATTATTTCAACTGATTAAAGGGGCCGTTTGATTTGCACGAATTTTTGCACTTTATCTGTGCGAAGCAGATCCAAAATAATCTGAGGAAAAATGGATTGGTCAGAGTGATCCACATTTTGGGGTGATCCTGACGGCGGACATTTCAAATAAATAATCGTTTTTTTTCATTTCGATTCGCTCACGGAAGATGAGTTGCTGTCTTTGTCTGTCTGCGCCAATTAATGACGCCTCTGGGGCCCCAGCTGAAATAACCACTAGCACAATAACGGACCTGCTCTCTCTTTCTTTTGGCACACTGTACTTGGGGCTGCGTTTGCTGCAATTTTTTTATACTTCAAAAAAACAGTCTTATCTATTGCTCTCTGTGTTGTATACGCTCTAGTTGATTCAACGTGACCATCACATATAGAGTAGAGTAAGTGGGTAGAAGAGAGTCCTGTTTTGGGGCTTAAGCGAGGACTGATAAGTGGACTTAAGACTCACGTTAAACTAGTAACATCTGCCCGAAACTACTTCTACTGCGCCAGCATTCTTCCGTGCATTAAATTAATTATAATTTTCAATTTTTATCGGACCCCAGTATAAAGCCAAGCTTGCATTTAGTCCTAAAAGTTTGTTTGTGAGCAAATCCCAAAGGTGTTCGATGTGATTTTTAGGCCTTCTGGGCACATTAGGCGCCGGCGCTCATAAAATTCGGTCTATGAACTTCTCACACCCTTCCGAGTGAGAGATTTTACAGAGGCGTGGCTGTAGGGTTGAGTGGTATCAAACGTCATCATAGGACCAGGCGTAACTTGTCGTTTGACTAACGTTCTTCTGATTTCCTCTGTAAATACCGTTCGAAAAAAATCAAATATGTGTAGTGTTCATTGTGCCACTTAAAAGCAATTCTTTTAAAGATTTAACCGTATTTCGCTGACAAAAAACAAGTAGAATTGCAATACTTATACTTCATTTATTTGCTTAAATGAACGGTGTATTCCAACCCGGAAAAGTGTTTGATATCGGCACTCTTGAGACAAGTATCGGTCGCTTTTTTGCTAATGATGTTCCCAAACTTTGCAGCTACCTCCATACCCTTGACATTATTTTACGGCCTCCAGAAGGCGTCCTAACAGGGACTCAATGAATGAAGGAGTGCTTTCCAGGAAAATTTACAAAATACAGCCATAAAAACTGGGCGGTAATTGAACATGCAGTTTCTATTTCAAAAGACATTTAAAATATCAACATTTTACAATCAGAGTCGGAATAGATTGCATGCCCCCCTCTTCCCGATAAGATAATTCAAAAGGAATGCCCTCACACCAATAATACAAACGAGATTGCGCTAAATTTCAGGAGGGTTACATATTCCCGTATTCTAATCTTAAAAATAACTTTAAATTTAATCCTATCATTACATCAAACGTTACCCTAGATTTAACACTCATTCTACCCTTAATCCTGACCCTTACCTCCCTAGAATGTAACGCAAAGCCACCAGTATTACGGTGCCTTCGTATTCCCCCTGTTTTACCGGGG